TGCCGAATCCACCAAGTTCTTACAAGAAGAGCCGGTCATCCAAGCAGTCGACCATCGCAACAGGTTCTCCTCGTCGGTCCCTTGGAGCCTCAAGGAAACCTCTATATCCGCTGGACCTCGAACATGGATGTCCTGCAGGATCCCAGCTACTGAGGCTCTCGCTCCCCAGTAGCTTCCTTCTATCATCACTGCAACTCCTCGCCTGAATACCTCCAGTGGGATGTCTTGACATCTCAACTGTTCACCCTTCTCGAACTCGTCAATGAGCTTGGGGTCACGGATCAACTCTGGTCCTTCTCTTCCTCTCTCTCTGTCTCTTTCTTCGGCTTCCACTCTGGCCACCGGTCTCCTCCGAATCCTCCCTCCCCAAATGGGAGGCTCCTCTCTTCCAGCTCGACGGATGTCTGCTGCTGGCCTAGCTCTTGGTGGCATTGATGAGGTTGTAGGGTCAACGACCTCCTTGACCTCCCTGATAATGCCTTTCTCGCTTCTTCACCCCGTAGTAAGATGGGTCAAGCTTCCAACCTCTGGCGGGACCTTGCCAGTACCCTCCTGTCGGCCTCTGCTTGGCCTTGGCCACAGGCAACCTCTTGGGTGGCTTTGGCTTCGGCGGTGATCTCGAAGGTGTGCGAGGTGGTCGAACACTGGGCTTTGCTTTCTTTTCTTTCCCTGCTTCTGCGTCCTTCTTGGGCGCCTTCTTCTCAGCGTCTGATGACGTGGGTCTCGGACGTCTCCTGTCCCTCCTGCTGTGAGATCGATGGGAGCGACGCCTGCTTCGACTTCTCCTCGATGATCTCCTCCTGAGCGATCTCTCCCGCTCTTTTCTCTTCTCTGGCTTGGAGCCGCTGGAGTACTTACCTTCTTCCTCCGCGTCCACGTCCACAAGACCAAAGCGCGAGGTCCCCGAACTGGGAGCTCTCTCTTCTTTTGCTTTTACCCAGCTTTTGTCGACCTTCTCTTCACTTCTGGGCTCGTTCACGACCGCACTCCCCGACTTAGGAGTGGCTGTGCCCCCAGCGGCTTGCTGCTTCTCTGCCTCGGCGATCCGTTCCAGCTCCTCCTCCACGATGCTGGTCCAGATCCTCAAGTTCTGCAAGCCCCAACCTCTAGCACGAACCGGAAGAGCGTCGAGGGTTCGCCAGAAGCGATCGCGGGACCGGCAGAACGCGCAGATCAAGTCGGTATCCGTGCACTGGATCCGACAGAGGGCACAGGGATGCATTCCCTTTGAGCCCAAACGCTATTCAAAACCCGACTGTCCGTTTGGTCGTCTTAATATCCGGGGCCGGAAGTACATATTATACCTTCAATGGGATCAACCAAAGCAAAGAAATAAATATCAATGGGTCCAATGCCTCTGATCCAAGCGTCCAAAACTGGATGAATGCCAAAAGTGAGTACCTGTGAAGTGTATCTCAGTTGGAGATCGGAAGTGCAAGTGTTGCAAGCTCAAAAATCGTTCGATCGATGGCTTGTGCCAAAGATGGTCATAGGATGGCCAAAAGCCTTGTGCCGGACTCAGGAGCACATGCTCGCAAGCACATGGCAAATCAGCATAGCTAAGGCAGTCTGGTGCGAAGGTGGTCAAATCCTCGTTGCCAAATGGGCCACACAGCACCACCCGAACTGTTGGGATCACAAGCTCTCCGGGGGAGAGCAGAATTGGAATTTTGACCAGTGGATCGGCACTAAACGTATCAGCCATGGGGTAAACGGACAAAAGTGCGCAGCTCATGTTCATAGATGTAGTTCTGTATTGTTTTGCACTATTATGTACACCATTGTACACCTACATGGCAGACCCCTCTGCACCCGACTGTGCAATCTTCATGTCTAAGGTGTTTCTTTTCGTCAGGTTTGACCCTGGGTGGTAGGGGTACAACATCACATTGCTATGCGCGCAGAAATTGGAAAGCTTTAATCTGTGCATCAGAAATCCTTAACTTTGCAAGCTGGTGTCTGTGTCAAAGCCCTCAATCCCCATAAACTCAAGTTGATTTGGAAGCTCTTCTGTGATCTGCTCTGCTATCCAATGAATCCTGCACACAAATCATCACAAAACCTGCCATGCTGAAGAATATACATCAGCCATTCGTGATATACCCTAGAATATCTTTTCACTTTAGGCTGTACTCAATGCTCTCAAATTCGTGCCTGTTACACTGTTACCCTCATCCCCGTTCGTATTCCTCACTCCACTCCACGCTCCCAACTTTACAGCCCAGCCCCATATTCTATCTATGCAACATCTACTTGTCTGTGCCTGACATGGTAGGGGCAAAGTACTTTAAGAGCAAGGTAGCGTGCAATGAGGACGAACAGGAGGAAGTAGCACATGCCCGAGTTACACTATCCTCCCGGCAACTCTTTCTACCCTGCTACTGAAACATGGCTTCTTTCTCTGCGCACTCCTCCATGCTCCATCCTCACTAGTACCTCACGTCATCATTGACACCACCCCAAAAGCCCTCGGTTTCCACCAACAGACCCGGCACCGTGACAGTCGGACGAGGCTCCGTCTCACCGGCGCCAAACCGGGCTGCCAGGAGGGTCAAGCTTCGTGCACCGCTCCGGGACGCGTCCAACGCGACGGAGGAGACCTGCTCCGCCGAGCAGAGCCCGAAGGGGACCACCGCACCCAGAGAGAGGCGTCGATCTCCGCATCGATTGGGCATCGTGCCTGTAATGCCGCCGATGGCCGATGGTTCTCGAGCCAGAATGGATGTCAGGTGAGTTTGACAGGAATGAAGATGGAGGATGAAAGCATCTTCCATATCAATGCCACTCTTGGATTGTACGATTAGAGCAGCAAGGCCTTGATTGAAGGCCTCTGACTGGGTGCATTCTGGGATTCCGCACGGGCCGTTTGAGCGCCACAAAGTCATCCACAAATCTGCGGTCCGAGGGAAGCAATGAGTTTCCTTTCAAAAACCGTTGAGCAAAAAATGGGCCTTTGAGCACTGAACGTGCTGCCATCTAACCTAGAAGTCGAAGACAAGTGGTCAAGCCGGCTACGCCGACGCATTAACTCAGGAAGGGGCTCCGCAACGGAACTTGCAATGCCAAGCGACTGCATGACCTGCGTGGCAAAAGGTTCCAACATCCGACCAAGTCAAATGTTTGACCAGCCTGACCTTGAGAAGAGATGTTGGCAAAGTCAGTTTGGGCTGCTTTTGGGCCCAACCTCGAGATGCAAGGGGCAATGTGCATCTGGCAACGGCAACGGCTTGCTGCAACAGGAAGTAGAAATATATATATATATGTGTATATATATATATAAAGACTCACTCAGGTTTCTCGTCTTCTTTTTTGCAGTGCAGACCTA